AAAAAAAGCTATTGTTATAACCCAGAAGGAACCACAAGAATGAAAACGCATCGCTCACGGTTCTTCCACCTGTGTGGCTGGGCACTGGGCATGTGCTACAGGACACTCGGGGCTTCAGGGCAGAGGCTCGTTCGTGAGCAAAACCAGAACGGTGTGCCCTCCTTAGGCCCTTCTTCATTTTCAGGGTTTGAACACTCTCCACAATGCCTTGAAGGTGAATGTCAGGGTAATAAGTAAATCTATTTCTCTAGGTTCCCATCCTTTTGCTAAGACCATGTTCTTCTCAGCCTTGGGGAGGCCTCAGCCACACTCACTAATTTTTTTTCAATATGAAAAAAATTAGTTTTTAGGGCCAGCAGGTGGCATGGTGGTTAAGGTGCTGGAATTCCCACATGGCTGGCCATGGTTTGAATCCCGGACCTGGCAGCTTACTTTCTCACTCTCCTTCTCTCTTTGACTTTCTCTGGCAAAACTCATGTGAAAAATAATATCAACAATAATAACAAATAAATAATTCTCTAAAAAAATTAGTTTTATTTATCATTATTATTTGTAATTTGCTACAGGGTATACATGGTCACCAGAGAGAGAGAGAGAGTAAAAGAGAGAGAGAAAGCAAGTGAGAAAGCAAGTCACCAGTCCCGGGACTTGAACTGTGGTCAGTCATGTGGGAGTCCAGCACCTTAACCACCATGCCACCTGCTGGGCTCCACACTCACCACTTTTACTTGCTCCTTTCTCAGGATGAATCCTGGAGGGTTCTCTGCAAGGGTAACTCCGGTAGAGAAGGGGCCGCTGCGTGTTGGCTGAGTCAGGAGTACCACAGAATTGCTAGTAGAGCAGGCATACCACAGGGCCCAAGTTCACATTCAGGGACCATAGCTCATACATCCTGTGACCTTGGCCTTAACTCCTCCAAGTTCCAATTTCCTCACCTGTGAAACTGGTAGCTACCTCAGAAGGTTCTTGGGAAGATAAAATGAGCTACTCTTTATGTAGAAAAATTAACACAGCTCTTGACACAGAGAGCAGGAACGATAGGTATTAATGGCAATTACCTAGAATACTACTTTGGGGTCAGATTCTGTAGAGGTAGAAAAATATCAGAGAAATAGCCCTCGACTTACCATCAACCTGTGGCAGGAGTTCAGTTAGGAGTCTCTGGGCACATGCCCAAGGACTTACCGCTTGCCTTCGAACCCCGGGTAGCTGACGGTCCTCTGCATGGCCCTCTTCGTGCTGCTCTCCTTCAGCAAGTTCACATCTCGGGGAAACAAGCCTTCCATCAGGTCCATCGTTGTCTTCATCCTGGAGTCTGGATCCAAAATGTCTGCCAGAGATTTGTCTTGGTGGACAATTTCCTTGGCCAGCGCCTCTGTTCTGATGTCTTCCGTGGTCTTCTGAGGATCAGAACTGGTTCTCTTTTCTAAACCCTGAGCTGCACTGACTGGTTCGTGGATGAGGCTTTGGGTCCATACCGAAGGTGGTGGCTCTGGGCTTGGCTGCTCGTCAAGAGACCCACTGAGTTGGGGCTGAACGCCCATGATGATGGGTGGGCTGGAGTCGCTGGCCTCTGAAACCTTGACAGACGTCTGGGGTCTGGAAGCCGGTATCTGACCACCTGCCAAATAGGCCACACCAGACATGTGCCTTTCTCTCGCCACTGTCACCTTGGAAGAGCTGGTGGAGCTGTTAGGGATACCAAAGGAGAGAGAGAGAGAAGTTAAAGGCAGAGTCAACAGAAGGGTGAAGACGGGAGAGTGGAGGAAGCCTTGGGGAGAGGCTTTTTTCATTAAGGCAGCCGCTTCCCAGCTCCGCACTGGGGTGAGGTAGTCGCCTTTCTGAGGTTATCACCCTCCGCTCAAAAAAAACCCCACAGGGTTCAAAAAGGACTCCTAAATCCCATAGTTGGTCTCAGGGAAGTTGTCATCCCCTAAAGAGGATGGATACCACAGGGATTCAGTTTTGGTGAAAGCTGCCGTTAGATCCAGAGCTTTCTGAAAAGTCACTGGTGTGCTGGAAGAAGCTGCCCTAAAGCTGCTAACAGACAATATGGTTTTTCTTTTTGTGTGTGTGGGGAGGTGTTAGGAGAGATCACTTGTCCTACGGATGATGTATTGGAAAATGCTTTCCTCCATTTCTCTGGCTTCTAAGAAAAGATGATCTCTAAACATTACAGACCTTGAACCCTACTCTACTCCTTCCTGTAGTGTGGAATGACTTTGGACAAGCCAACCACTCATAGTTCAGCCTCGTCCTTCCAGGCTCACTGTATCTGTGTGTCTCTGTGTAGCAGAGCTTGCCCCAGATAGGTAAGCCTGTTCAGTTTGGGGTCCAGTATAAGGAGACCTGACTTACTTCCAGACAGAGGCCAACTCCTCCAGTATCAGCTTTATCAGTAATACCTCTATTACTGAAGGTACGGGAATATTACTTCAGTAATACAATAATACCTATAAATAAATAAATACTAATACCTCTCATTACCTATCAGTAATAAACGCGATTTTCATCTCCTGTAGGCTTTTCTCGTTTCACCCTCTCACTGACTCAGAGCTCAGCCAGGGAGGGAGGACGTGTGTACGTGGACCCTGGAATCCACTGTGGCCAGAGACGTGGATCATGCCTCTTGGGTTTTGGATCTCCTGGCACCACTCTCACTCCTCAGTACCCAACGATCGCCAAAGGCAAACAAGTGACAGTCTCACCAGTTGAAGGAGCTAAACTCCTACTCAAAGTCTCCATGCAGGGCTTTCCTGTGACCAACAGGGGAGAGCCTGGGCAGCCTGGGGCACGGAAATCTAGTGCAAGGAAACCGCATCCCCAGCCGGAGGCCTGCTCTGCACACGTCCGCGCTCACCTGCAGAGCCCACCGCCATCCTCGCTGTCCAGTGGCCCCTCACACACAGCCTGGGGGGGAGGCGGAGGAAAGTCATCGGAGCTGTCCAGCAGGGTGTCCTGGTTCGGTGGAGGAGGCGGGGGTGGGGGGAGAGCTTCAAATGTGGGGCTAGAAGTGGCCTTGGGGTGCAAGTCCTTTACAAACACCTCGTCATCACAGTCCTCCCGGGGCAGGGGGGAGGCCAGGAGGACCGACTCGGATATTCGGAGGGAGATCCTCCCTGGAGGGCTGTTGGCCTCGAGGGGCGTGTCTGGGTCAGAAGTGCTGCACGAGCTCGGGAGACTCTGTGGTTTCTTATAGTGCTTCAGGTTTGCAAACTCCGCAGAGGAAGACTCCTCAGGAAGGCTGTCCCCTCTGACTGTGTGGGCCCACTTCACCCGGGGCGGTGGCGGCCACTGAAGCGAGACTCTCTTCCTCACTCCCTCCTCCAGCCCTTGCTCTGGGTGGCTGAGCTCTTGGCCTCTTGGACTAGGAGGCTGGGGCAGGGTGTGACCGTTGCTTCTGGGGGTCACTGCAGGGGTATATGGAAGAAGGGGCTGTCGCCCGGCCTGACTGTCTCTCCCAAGGTGCTGATCAGTGGCAACCTGTGGGCAGCAGCTGGAAGGAACAGGAGAGGGCAGAAGTGGGCTGTGTGGGCTCACTGGCCCAGCCCTGGTGTCGAGAGGCTGCCCCTGTGCTCCTGTTGGCGGTGGCTTGGGGCATGGTGTCCTGCTGGCTTGCCTCTGCTGGTCCAGGGGTCCAGAACACTCCTTGGGAGCTGCGGAGCAATCAGCTGCTTTGCAGCCTGAACTGCCCCAGCCCCTGGCCGGGGTAGGGTGGTGTGTAAACAACGGCATCTCTTCTCTGCCTCTTTCTGAACAACTGAGTGACCTGGAACGGGACAGACAGACACAGGATTATAGCTCAGACAGCGGCAAACACTGAGCCCAGGGTTCCCAATGAGAGTAAGGGGAAGAGTCCCCTGCCCCGCAGAGATGCCGCACACTGTCTTCTCCCCAGCTCACAAAAGAACCAAGCTGAACAGTACGGTCAGGCTAAGCACCTCCAGGGAAAGGTCATGTGGGGGTCTGGGGTCACATGGTATTTCCTTTATAAACCCCCTTTCACCCCCCACCTCCTGCACACACTGCAGGTAAGGGGGATTTTGGGGAGAGGCTTCAGGACATAATATGAAACCCACAGTATATTTTTTTCTCAGCAAACTTCAGAGCTACTTCAGGGAACAGCCCCTGGCTCTGGGGAAATGCTGCCACATCTCGGTGTGCTCCCCGGGGAGGTCTGCGGAAGGCACCTGCACGGGCGGCTGAATGTGCAGGTAGTATTTCCAACCATCTCTCAGTCGCCCAGAGCTTTCGTTTCATCCATGAAATGAAAAATAAAATAAGAAAAGCGGGAGGAGAGTGTGTCACCGAAGGCGTTAAAAAGCAGGTACCTCTGGACAAGAGACTGAGGCTAATAAGCTAATATGATGCACGGTGATGGAAACGGTGACTTTTAAGCTCCAAGGAAGAACACAATTCCCGTGTTCTAAAGGGAAACACAGGACGAAACGAAGAAAGCAGAGTGCAGCACTGCCTGCCCGCCGTGTAGGAGTTAACGTGAGCACGGAGAAGAACCTCGGCAAAGCCACTGTAATTCCACATGTGCACCTCCCTGACTGCTGGGCTCGAGAATCTGAGGACAGATGGCACTTCTGACTTCACAGATGTGACTCCTCGGGGGGAGCTGTGACTCAGCCCCACGCAGAGCAACAGCCAGGGCTGCCCCCAAGTCACCTACATGCCAGGCGAGAAAAGGCAGCGGAGGGAGGGAAGAGAGCAGGGAGCAGGTTAGATCGTCACACACCCTTTTTCTTTCTTGCAGATGTGGGTGGTTGGGTCAAGGGCCTGTCTCTCTTTCTCTCCCCTCTGCCTTTGTCTCTCTCAGATGCACAGACCCTCTTCCCATCACAGACCCTCTTCATTCAGACATGGCTGCGTTACCAGAAGCCTCTTCGTATCTAAGACTGGCTACTGCTACTCTGCACTTCATGGTGGCTTTTCAAGTGGGGATATTGGAAACCCGGAGGCAGGAGGTTCGCTGGGGCCGTTCTTCACCCCCAGGTCTTACAGTTTTGGTGGCTTCAGCCCCCTGCACAAAGTACCCTCACAGTGAATGTCTGCTGGAGAAATGATGTCTCTGCCCAGTGGCTTCTCAAACTATAGGATATGAGCCATTTTTACTTAGCGTCCTGTAAGAGGACATGGATTCGGAACCAGCACGTGGTGTAATGGTTACCTCACTGGACTCTCATGTAGTCGACCATGGTTCGAGTCCTGTACCTGGCAGCTTAAAACTCACACTGGGCACATGTGTGTGCATGCCCAAAATCCCAAGAGGAGAATAGAGGAGAACAGACTGCAGCGCGGCCATCCCCCCAGGGTGATTTCTCACTTTCTGTCTCTGGCAAGCACACGCACCATATAGCAAAAAACTCTCTTTAAAAAGGAAAAAAAAAGGACTTGGGTTCAACTGGACTCTGATGTGTCAATGTTAATTTTGGACCTTTTATTTACTTCATTTGTATCTCAAAACTTTTTAAAAGGGGGAAGTACCAATCACTAAAACATTTAGCAAACACGTACCCTTTATTTATTTATTTATTTATTTATTTATTTATTTATTTATTTTTGGAGAGGTTTTTGCTATAGGGCGCGTGCGCTCGCCAGAAAAAAACAGAGAAAGAGACAGAAAGTGAGAAATCACTCCCCAAGGGGGATGGCTATGCCGCAATCCCCTCTCCTGCATTCTCCTGTTGGGATCCTGGGCACACACGTACACACGCCTGGCGTGAGTTTAAGCCACCAGGTCCGGGACTCAAACTGTGGTTGTCTACATGGGAGTCCAGCGACATAGCCATTACACTAACTGCTGGTCCCAAACACATACCCTTTAAAGATCCAGCACAATGATGTGATGTTTTCAGTTATGTTAGGTCTTAGTTTACATAAATTGTACTAATGTTGCATATTCTAGAAGATAATATTTGAGTTAAACGTTAAGTTTGATTGAGAATGCTTCATCATACTGATTATTTTATGCTTTTTTAGGAACAAAGTTTAGGGTAAAAAAGGTTTTGTTTAAGTCCCTTTTTTTTAAAGAATTATTTTTTTAACTTTATTAATCTGACCAGAGAAGGGCAGTGAGAGAGAGAGAGAGAGAGAGAGAGAGAAAGAAAGGAAGCTGCCAGGTCCAAGACTGGAACCACAGTCAGCCATGTTGGAGTCTGGTGTCCTTAACCACCATGCCACCTGCTGTCCCCTCAAGCCCCTTTTATAGTAAGGTGTGAGATGGTCCCACAGTGTCTGTTGATATGTATCCAGGAATCCTAGTATTTAAGAATGGATTTTGAGAGCAATTAGTCTTACCTTTAAAAATATTGCGTATTTTTGTTGCAGTAAAAAAAAAAAAAAAATTACAACATAATATTTCATCTTAACCGTTTCTAAGTGTATGGTTCAGTAGTGTCAAGTATGTTCACACTGTTATGAAGCACATTTCCAAAACTCTAATATATTGCAAATCCCAAACTCTATACCCAGTAAATAATGTTCCCCAAGACTCCCTCTCCCTGCTCCCTTGTAATTGCCATCTGACTTTCTGTTTCTATGAATCTGACTGCCCTAAGTACCTCATAGAAGTCAAATCACACAGTATTTGTCTTTCTGTGGGTGGCTTATTTCACTTAGCATTATGTCCTGAAACACCATCCCCGTCCCTGTTGTAGCAGGTGATAAGACTGCCTTCCTCTTTAAGCCTGAATAATATTCCCTTGTAGGTATATAATACATTTTGTTTAAGCATTCACCTGTGGCTAGACATTTGGGTTATTTCCACCTTGCCTACTGTGAATGGCACTGCTGTGAACATGGGTATGCAAATATCTCCTAGAGACCCTGCTTCCGACTCTTCTGGACACACATAGAAGTGGCCCTGCTGGATCATATTGTTAATGTTTCCAAGAGCCTCCACGCTGTTTTCCACACTGCTTTGGCCCTCTCCATTCCCATGGAGGGTGTACAAGTGCTCCAGTTTCTCTGCCCGCCAACACGTATTTTCTGGTCTTCTGATAGCAGCTATCTCTGATGATTATGAGCTGACATCTCCCTGTGGTTTTGACTTGCATTTTTCTGATGATTAGTGAGGTTGGACACCTTTTTATACGCTTGTTGGCGATCTGTCTATCATCTTTGGAGAATTGGGGAAGTGTCTATTCAAGTTCTTTGCCTTTTTTTTTTTTTTTTTTTTTTTAGGTTTTTGCTAGAGGGCATGTATGCTTGTAAGAGAAAAAGACAAAGAGAGAGGGAAAGTGAGAATCACGCCCCAGGGGGATGGCCATGCCACAATCCCTTCTCCTCCATTCTCCTTTCGGGATTTTGGGCACATATACACACGTATCCATGTTTTTCAAGTTTCTGAGTCTGGGACATAAACCATGGAGTTGGTTATGTGGGATCCAGCACTTTAACCACCAAGCCATCTGCTGGCCCCCCTTTGCACATTTTAAAACAGTTATTTGATTTCCTGTTGCCGAGTTCCATCTTTCACTTCAGAGTAATTCCACTTTAGCAGTCTCTCAGTCACTGTTAGTTTTCCCTTGTCTCTAGTCTTCATGAATGCACCAAAACTAACCAAAGTCCTCAGCCTCACCTTGAGGCTTGAATACTTGAATACTCAGGTTGAATACTTTCTTCCCTTTGACACAGCAATAAGAGAGAGCACGTAACTGTGAGAGGCTGCCTTTGGTGGTGAGGTCGGTCACTTAATGACAGAACCTGCGGTGGCCTGGGTGTTAGGGGAACTTCTGTGCAGTGCTGAACACGGGTGAGCCTGTGCTCCTGGCTACTATCAGGGATGTGGGCATGAAGACCTTACTGAGGGTGCCGACCTCTCTCTCTCGGGAAAGAAACTAATAAATAAATAAAAACAGCTAAAAGGGATCAGCAGGTGGCATGGTGACTAAGGCACTGGACTCCCACATAACCAAATGCTATTTGAGTAAGAATTTGGCCTCCTAAAAATCACACCAGGCATGTGTGCCCAAAATCCTGAGAAGAGAATGGAAGAGAAGGGACTGTGGTGTGGCCATCCTTCCTCGGGGGGGATTTCTTACTTTCTCTTTCTGTCTCACTGACTCTGTCTCTCTCTGGTGAGTACATGTACCCCATGGCAAAAATATTAAAAAAAAAAGAAAGAAAGAAAGAAAGAAAGAAAGAAAAAGAAAAAGAAAGAAGATAGATAAAAGGCATCTAAATGTAGCGACTAGCACATGGTGTGGTGCTTAAGGTGCTGGACTCCCACATGGCCAACTACAGTTCAAGTCCTGGACCCAGGGTCTTGTTTTCTTATTTTCCCTCTCTTTCTTTCTCTGATCAAATAACAATAATAAATCAAATTAAATAATTATTTTTTTAAAAAAAGAATGTAAATTTCAGTTAAAAAATAACAATACTTCCTGATCATGGTGGCTGCATTTTTTTTTTGAAGAGGTTTTTGCTACAGGGCACATGTGCTTGCAAGAGAGACAGAAAGTGAGAAATCACCCCCAGGGGGAATGGCCATGCCGCAATCCCTTCTCCTCCATTCTCCTCTCGGGATCTTGGGCATGCATGCACACGTGCCCAGCATGAGTTTAAGCCAGTGGGTCTGGGACTCGAACTGCAGTCAACTACACGGGAGTTCAGTGACATAGCCATTATGGCTAACTGCTGGTTCCGGTGGCTGCTTTTATATAACAGTAGCAGAGGTGTGTGTTGGTGGAGGGACACTGTAGAGAAGGTGGATGCAGAAAGAGAGAAACAATGAATGGCATGTAAGAAAATTAAGAAACTGGCTTCACAAAACATGGCTAAGTTATAGGGAGGGTTAAGTGTATTATCAGGTAGTTATGACAGATTAAGTAGAAAGCTTTATGATGCTGCATTAAAACTACATACATGTGGTCAAAGGAAAAACCCTCTTTGGAAATTTCTCCTTATTAAGCTCCATGAGAGTAGTTCAAAAATTCAAATTAAAAAATAAATGACCATTGTATTTTTCGACCTAAAAAAATTACTTTTCAGCTACTTTCTATCTTGTATCTAAAAATTATATATTGAGATTTATTTTTCCCCTCCAGTGTTTGCTGTGAGTTCGTACTACTCTATAAAACTGTTCATGAAATCGCCATTCTTTTCCCTAGCACTTTGGTCACCAGACCTAATGCTTTGCACACAAAACTAGGAGAGCCCAGCCACATAAAAGAGGCCCCCTGCATGACAGCCACAGGCTACGCTGAGAGGAGCATCTTCATTCATTATTCCTCTGGCTTTTTAGAAGTCAGCCATTTTCTCAATAGCATACATTCAAAACTACCGTGAACAAGTGTCATTCATACACAATGACATTTATAAATAAAAAACGAAAAATTTCCCAAGGCCTAGGAAAGTCAAAGTAGGCAGCACGTGACACGACAACATCGCATTTCAACTTCTCGCAGAGAGGAACAGAAAGGGTAACTCCGGCAGCATTCACAGGCAGAGGGCGTCGTAAACACACATACATACCCAGGTCCAGGGCCAGCTGGATAACATGGATCCTTCACAAGACCAAAGCCACCGTCTTCCCCCAAAAGCACATCCTTCAAACACAAGAAATACACAGCATCATTACCAATAAATAGGCACTTAAACTTACCCAGGGTATGAGGTAAAAAGGAGGAGGAACACTTACTTATTGGCAACCTACTGCTGCCACGCACCACGGTGCCATTCTTAGGTTTCTTTCCCATTTAATCCTCAAAGCTCCAGGAAGCATTATGAACCTTCCTCCATCAATGAGGATTTAGGCCCAGGGTCAAAAAGGGCAGAGCCAGCATTTGAACTTCAGTCTGTCTCACCAGCTGCCTCCCTAACACAAATGTTTCCTAAGAAATGTCCGACAACAATGACCTCCAGAGTTTAAAACAACTGCTATTCTTTAAATATGATGATGATGACAATGAAGTGGATGCCCAAAGTTTTGAAACACGAATGGAAAAAATATGGGAGATGGAAAGGAAATAACAGTTTATTTAATTTTGCAAAAATCTTAAATGTTCTGGGCTATAGAGAATCTGTGAACCTGGCTTTTAATTGTGTAGCAATAAATACTCTCTGGGGGAACTCTCACCCACATGTGATGTCACTAACTCTGGGGACCTTTCAGGGATAGCTTTTATTTGTTTTAATAAGGTATTACATATATATAAATAAATACATATATACATATACGCTAGTGTCCTGAAAGGCTTTAAGATCAGTTTTCGGCTGTATAAATTTAGGTCCATGTGATCAGGTCTATGATGAAGATTATGGTTCTGGGGCCAGCAGGTGGCGTGGTGGTGAAGGGTGCTGGACTCCCACATGGCCAACACGGTTCAAGTCCCAGACCTGGCGATTTGCTTTCACACTTTCCCTCTCTCTCTCTCATTCTGTCCCTCTCTGGTCAAATTTTAAAATAAATAAATAAAGTTAAATAAAATAATTCTTAAAAAAAAAAAAAAGACTATGGTTCTGCTAATGGTGACAATACATTCAAGTCTCAATGATTTATGATAATAAGAGACAGGAAGGAAGCGGAAAGACTAAATTCATGTATAATCAATAAATTTAATTTCATTTAATTTATTTCACCATTTTTCCCTCTCCAAAGGACTGCTTTACACCCCCTTTCCTTTTCTTGGCCCAGTAAAGGTATTAACAAACACTAAAAAGGGCCAAAGTTTGTAGAAGGCAAGAGAAGAATCAAACACCTAGCTAGACATGACTAATTAATTCGAAATAAGAAAACACAGAACACTGGTCTGGAAACAACCACTCTTAGCTGTATGGTGAGACTAACTCTGTTTTTAACTAGTTTTAACTTTAAATAAGTTAGATGATGAGAGGATGCAGAGCAGACCTCATCCAGGGCCACTTCTCCAGTCTGGCAAGGCCTGGTTGTTGGGTGGGAGAACGGGAGAAGGAAGCTCCAGAACGCAGTCCTGGCACAATCACAACACAGGGCATGACAACCTATTTTCAGAATTTGTGGGAGCAAAGCAGCACAAAAGAAGTACTTGTTTGGAAATATTTCTCCTCTGCCTTCATAGCCCCCGATTAAAATACAAATATGTTATTTTTCATTATGAACAAAGTACCTAAATACTGTTCTGCATTCAATGGTCTTTCTAGAAAGTTTTCAAAATAACATAAAGTAATGTAATTGGTATTTGACGGAGTCTCTTCACTTCTCTACATCACTGGTGTGTTAGCTCTGTCTTCCAAGTGGCCAGGCTTATGAATATTTTGGGGAAAGAAAAATAACATTCCAAGCTATCCAACCAATTTCTCAACACAACACAATTGTTTATTCACAGAGAATAAACAATAGATTTCGTTTTCACCTACGCGTTTCCATTTCATTTGGAACATGCAGAGAGAAATGAAGAAAACATTTGGCTTGCTATGCTGTTAGCTACTGTTAATGGATAGGTTTGGCCTGTCTGTGTCCACACTGGCATGACAAAATCTGACCCAAACTAGTCTCTGTAGACACTGAGCTGCAACCTAAATGAAGTGCAAGCAACCTGTCCCCTACCCAAGGAGTAGCTTAAACCTAGTAACCAAGCAACTGTGCCTCAACCAATCACAGCGGCCAACCTCTCAGCCACCCCAGGCTGAAAGCTGCCAAATCATGTCCAAATAAGGCAAATGCCAACTGCAGCCAATCAGGTTGGTTTTCTATATCATTTCCTTTTCCTCCTGCATATGTGGTGGGTTGTATTTACTGCCAGATAAAAGTGACATAAAAACTCAGTGTGTTAGGTCTGAGCGCTACTTGGTTCTAGAACTTATCTCTTGCTCAAATAGACTATAAAGTTTAACTACTCTTAGTTTTGTTTTTCTGTAACCCTACTGTTCATCGAAGTTCATCAAATGAGCTGAAATTATATGTTCTATATAAGATTTTTTAAAAAGTTTTAGTGGTGGGACCAGCAGATGGCGTAATGATTACATTGCTGGACCTAAAACTTTCGCTGGGCATGTGTGTGTGTGTGTGTGTACCCAAGATCCCGAGAAGAGAATGGAGAAGGGACTGCGATGTGACCATTCCCCCCGGGGGGGTGATGTCTCACTTTCTGTCTCTCCAGTGAATGCACGCACCCTATAGCAAAAATCTCTCTCTAAAATTAAAAAAAAAGACGTTTTAGTGGTAGGATCAGAGGGGAAATTAACTCTGTTCTTCATTCTAAAGAAATGAAAATGGCTACTGAAGCCTTATTGAGGACTGCCTCTAGATTTTCTGGTATGAGTTTATACTGGGAAGAAAAAAAATTTGAACAATTCTGAATAGAAAATACCTGGCAAGGTGTAGTTATTTTCTCTCAGAAGGCTTTGTGTGCATATTTGTTTTGGAAACAACACAGCAAACTTCTCAATGGGTAACTGTTGAATCTTTGCCTAAGCAGTTTCCTCTGACTAATGCCCCTCCTCCCACACACATACCCCAATTCCTTGTCAATATCCTGCCCATCCTTTAAAGCCGCGTTCAAATCCCATCTCTCTCAAGAGAAGTTCTCTCAGATTCCCTCAACTAGAATTAGAATTACTTTCCCTTCCAATGCATATTATTGATCATTACACCTAAAACATTCAATAGTCATGTGAGAGTATTTACATACAAGGTCAAGTTACTTGGTCAGGGACAGGAGCCTTTATTTTTTTTTCCTTTGTGACTCAGCATGTAATACAGCACGTTTCATACATGTTCTACACATGTTGGCTGAATGGTTGACTTCTCTGCAGGAGAAAACATAATCTGAACTTGGGTAAAGGAGGGCATGTTCCTTTCCCCTGTGCTACCATGTATGTAATTTCCTAGGATCTTCTAGCTGGGAAGGGAACCCTGAAGCAGATCTCTGACCTCCAGGGGAAGCAAAACTCAAGGATGGGCTCAGAATTAGGTAGGGAAATTATAGACTCCAAGGAGTCTGAACACTCAGATTCTAGTCCTAGCTCTGCTTGAAACTGCCAATGGAAAACATTTCATAATCTTCAGTGTTTGAAGCCTTTATTAGAAAATCCTTTCATGTGGGAGTCTGAGTGAGTTTCCCACCTCACCAGGATAATACACAGAAAGAAGTCAGAAGGGAGCCAGAGACCTGGGCTTGATCTGGATAGTATTCTCTCCTGCGTCAGATTATTGTGAGGATTAAATGACATACAAATGTAAAGCATCCTTGGCTAAGAACTGCTAGAAGGGCCTGGTGCTCAGCTATGCTCTACTGCACACGAGTCTCCTGAGGAGTAAGCAAGGTAATGCATGGAAAGCATACTTAGCTGAGAGCCAGAAACTCAGCAATCAGTGACGACCAGTGTCAACAGTTCTACTTTGCCAATGCAAAAGAAAAGAAGCGGGTGCAAAGTTAAAATCTTTAAAATATTCTTGTACAGTCCATGAAGGGGGGAAAACAAAACAAAACACAAAACAAAACAAAACACATGCACAGCAAAGATAACTTTTCCTAAGCAAGCACTCCTGCACTGGGTGATGTCCTAAAAAAAATAGTATCTATATAACTACACATGTGCACGGGTACACACACGCGCGCGTGCACACACACACACACACACACACACACATTTTATAATCTCTGTAAGGAAAGCAGGTAGGGTCACTGAGAAAGGAATCACCTCATGAAAACAAATGCTGCTTTCCTGCATTTTAAAGGCAAATTGAGTAAGGAGGGAGGCAAAGAGGTAGGGGACACCCACTAAAGCTACCAGGGACGGTCCTAGACCAGGGCCCCCCGGATGCACATACCTGGCGCTTGTCTGCGATGGGCGACGACCTGGACCTCACGTGGACAGGGACGGTCAGGACATCTGAGCGCTCCAGCAGGTCCTCGGCTGACATGGATTTTCCAGTCCTCCTGCCGGCAGCCCCCCAAGGAGATGGCTCTCCAGGGGTCCCGACCATCCTCTGGGTGCCCCTTGGTCCGCCATTAGTTCCACTGAACTGCTCTCTCGGAGTCTGGGGGTCCCCGCGACGCCTATCCCCGACGAGGCGCCCACCAGCGAAGGAGCTGCTACGATCTCTGGGGGCCTGCGGGGGCTCCATGGCTGCGAACTGCAGGAAGGAGGCCTCCCTGTGCGGCTGCAGGCTGGCCTCCCGCAGCGACCCGAGGCTGGAGGCTGCGGACAGGCCGGGGCCTGCGGGTGTGGCGGGGCCGGGCTGCCCAGGGCGCTCTGCTGGAACTGCTTCAGCTCGGGCCCCGACAGGCTGAGCGTGGAGCAGGCCTTGCCGTCGCGCTCGAACAGGCGGCGCCGGTCGGCCACCGTGCTCTCGGGGAAGCGCAGCCCCTTCCTCTGCGGGCGCTCGGCCTCCTCCGACACCCCCACCTCGTTCATCTTCTCGGGCTCCGAGTAGGAGCGCTTCTTCTGCTCGGGGGTCAGGCGCCGGCGTGCCCCTCTCCGGGCAGTGGGGGGCGCCAGGCGGGCCGGGTCGCCCTCGGTGGCCGGGGTCACGCTGTGGCGCTCCCGCGGCGTGTGCGGGGAGGCCGAAGCC